GTTGTTTCTGATGGGTTCAGTCCTTTGCCTCTGCTGAGGGCGAGTTTCCATGAATCGACCGAGACGTCCCTGACGTATCAAGCCCTCGACTTGATCTTTGAGGTTAACACACTCCTCAGTATTGTGGCCATGGTCCTGATGAAAACGGCAATATTTGGATTGGTCTCGCCGGTTTGAAGGAGACCGTGAGGGTTGGGGCCATTTTAGGGGGTAATCTCGCTGAATCTGGTTCAAGACTTGTTCCATAGGGGAGTTGAGGGGTGTGTATCGTTCGAATCGGTCGGGCATTCAGGTTGGTGCCGGCCGATCAACTCAGGGTGGTCGGTCGGTATACTGAGGTGTTTGGTTATTGTACTGGGTGTTCTGGTTTCTGAGTCCTTTCTCTTCTCTCTGGGGGTCGAGTTTTTGGCTGTAGGCTCTTGGCGGGCGGCTAGGGAATCTTCGGCGTTCATGTATTTTTGGGCTTTGGAGAGTAAGGTTGCCATGGAGGTCGGGGGATTTTTGGAGAGGGAGAAAAGGAAATCAGATGATCGTAGGCCGGCCATGAACGCCGTGAGGATGACCTTGTCATCGTTTTTCACTACCTGCAGGGCTTCGGTGTTGAAGCGGGTGACAAAGCTGCACAACGACTTCCCCTCGGTTTGACGGATGTCGAGTAGTTGGGTTGCCGGACGCCGCTGGCGCTGGGCTCCAATGAAATGGCAGAGAAAGGAGTCACTGAAGTGCTGGAAAGTGGAAACAGAGTCTGCTGGCAGTTGACTAAACCAGAGTCGAGCAGACCCCTTGAGTGTAACCTTCTGTTCTTCTTCGTGATTATATTGTTGGTTCCATTACTTTTTTCTCTTGTGAATCTACTTCCTATCATGAGGCTTGTTCTACCCCTCTTTGGCAGCAAGCTATGACTAATGAACTACAAGCTTTGGATAAAACTCATACCTAGGACGTAGTTGATCTTCCTTTTGACAAAACTGCTATTAGTTATAAATGGGTTTATCAGATCAAAACTGATTTTGATGGTTCCATTGAACATTACAAAGCCCGTCTTGTTTCCCAGGGATTTACACAAAAGTATGGGATTGAATATGAGGAAACATTTGCTCATGTTGCTCGTCTTACTTCAGTTCGCAACTTATTAGCAGTTGCTGCTACTCGCCATTGGAGTCTTTATCAGATGGATGTCAAAAATGCCATTCTCAATGGTGATCTCACTGAGGAAGTTTATATGCAACCTTCACCTGGTTCTTCTGTTCCATCCATCAAAGTTTGCAAACTTCGTTGTGCTTTGTACGGTTTGAAACAAGGTCCTCATGCCTGGTTTGCCAAGTTCAGTTCTACCATTCATGACTTTGGTTTCTCCTCCGGTGCCTATGATTCTGCCTTGTTTATACGTCAAACAGAGCATGGTATTATTATAATTTTTCTCTATGTGGATGATATGATCATCATTGGCGATGGCACAGTGGATATCTTTAGTCTCAAACAGTTCCTCAGTCACCAGTTTGAGATGACAGATTTGGGTTTGCTTAGCTATTTCCTTGGCTTGAAAATTTCTCATGATCCTTCTAGTTACTTTCTAACACAGGCCAATTATATCTTTGATCTCTTGACTCGTGCTGGTCTTACTAATTGCAAGACCACTACTACTCTAGTTGATCCTTAGACTCGTCTCACATCTCTTGAGGGTCACCTATTATCTAATGCTACTTTATATTGTCAGCTAATTGGCAATCTTGTCTATCTCACGATTACTTGTCCAGACATTGCCTATGTTATTCACATTGTTAGTCAGTTCATGGCTGCTCCTCGCACTCCGCACTATAATGCTCTAGTTCGTATTTTGCGCTTTCTAAAAGGCACTATGTTCCATGGTCTTCACTACTCAGCATACTCTTCTCTATAGTTACATGCATTTTCTGATGCAGATTGGGCCGGGGATCCTACTGACCGCCGCTCTACTACAGGATTCTACTTCTTCTTAGGTGATTCTCTCATTGCTTGGTGTAGCAAGAGGCGAACTCTTGTTGCTTGTTCTAGTACTGAGGCTGAGTATCATGCTCTTGCGGATACTACTCAAGAGCTTGTGTGGCTTCATTGGCTTCTTACTAATATAGGAATTCCCCATCCTGCTACCACTATCCTTTATTGTGACAATCAAAGTGCTATTTAGATTGCACATAATGATATCTTCCATGATCGCACCAAGCATATTAAGATTGATTGTCACTTCATCCGGCAACACGTTACTAGTGGCACTGTTCGTCTTTATCTTTGTGACCTTTGCCGATCAGACAGCTGATATCTTCACCAAGATTCATCCTCCAGGACGATTTTCTGATTTACTTTTCAAGCTCAACTTGATATCTGCATTACCACCTTGAACTTGAGGAGGGGTTTTAATATAGTAGATCAAAATATATTAGGATATTATTGTATATATCTGTTATAGTATATTCTCTGTAAATACTTATCATCTCTCCTATATAAAGGAGTGTGTACCTATTCATTCATATATTGAATACAAGAGTTCTCTTTTTTCTTCTCTTTCTACTCTCATAACATTGTTTTGGAAAGAAGGTTGGGAATGAATCTAAACAATAACAAAAATCTACATAATCAAAGTTTTCTTGCTATATACAAATCACAAAGAAAAAAAAACAAATCACAGAGAAAAATAGAGTGAAGTAGTGGGTTAAGCTCCAACCAATAATAAAACTCCAAGAGGGCTCAAACCTTACACCTCTTCGCAAATAGAGCATCCTTGGAACCCTCAAGACAATATCAGACATCCAATTGAAATCATTAATAAAAGACAATAATTCGTGACTCAATCAGAAACCAGAGGCCCAATCGAAGCTTCATGTTGCATGTATCAGAGACCCAATCAATACCCAGTAGTAAATGGCCTAATTGATACCCAATCAATGCCTAATTGATACCCAAAGTATGATAATTGTAAGAAAAGATTAAACCATTACTTCAAAATTTATTCAACTTTTCAACTCAATAGCAAGCATGATTGATGATTAATTCGTAGACTTGTAGAGTCAAGGAAGACAACCAACCAAAACAAAAAGTTAGACAATAAGAATGAGCAACCATTGCCTCAATAAGAATACAAATCAGATACTTACCTCAGTGTTTGGATGTGATAGGTGTTGAAGAAGTTTTACTTTTTTCTCATGCTCTCTAATGTGAGCCTATTAAGCAAATTAAAAACAAAAAACAAAAATGGAAATGCGATTCAATCAAATAAATAAAATAGTTTTGCCAATCAACCAATCCAAATATATACATAGTTATATAGTACACCACAAAGGCAAACCTTCAAATACAAATTGTAAGAATCCATAACATAAATGTAATAAAGCAATTAAACCTGTGTTTTCTCTTTTTGAAGCACTATTGACTGTAATTGTAACCTTCATTCAGACATATACCAATGACAACAAAACAAATGCTATCAAGACTAATAAAATAACAAAATTACTAACCTGCTTGATGGCTAGAAGGTCTTTATAATCTAGCCAAATGCACTACAGAGTGTGGCTACTTCAATTAGAATCTGATTCTCGATTTGCAAATGTTGGAATCAATGGGTGTTATTCTAATTAACAACATGAATAAAAATTAGAAATTAGGAATAATTATAGAAAAATGTTTACACAAATGTAGAGATAGAATAAGAAAGAGACCATAGATTGTGATGAAGGATACCCATTGAATTGTGGCCTCGAAATCGCTTTAAGTGCTTCAGTCGTCCATCAGCACTTTGTATATCAAGTCTCAATTATTGCTTCGCAATCACCACAAACCCATGGTGAAGACTATGATGGTTGAGACTTTAGAATGGGCTATGACGACTACATCGAGAAGAAAGTTGAAGTGGTCTCAAACCCATGGTGAGGAGGTGAAAACAATAAGGAAGATGAGAGGAAGGAGTTGAAACAATAACATTAAACCTACAATGGAAGCCAAACATCCTGTTACCAACAAATATTGCAAAAAAAAAAAAACAAAACTAATGTTTAACATCAAACCAAACAAAACTAAAGCATAGTTCAACTCTATCACAATTTTAGCAACGAAACTAACTAATTAATCAACAAAACCAATTAAAGTTTACAACAACTTTCTCCAGTGTTTCAACAAAACTAACTAATTAAATATCTATTTGAGATCTCATTGAACAAAACACTGAATACCCAAACACTGAATACCCACAACCTTAGTCTGCTCCATTGTCGCCATCAAAATCGCTGCATCGTATGGCAGAAAACATAATGGTGCTTAAATAGATAGATAATGGGTTGTTAAAAAAAAATTAGATAGATTAATGGTGACTTTAGAAACTGATTTAAAACAAATCTAGCAATCGAAACTGATTTAATACAAATCTAATACAAATCAGCAAAAGGAAATCAACTAATTAATCAACAAAACTAATTAATTAAAGTTTCCAGTACCTTTCCAATGGTTTCAACATCTCCAACATAACTAACTAATTAAAATAACTATTTGGGATATCCTTGAATAGAGCTAGCAAGACCAAGACACTGAAACAGGGCCAGCAAGGCTAAAACGAATACCCACAACCTTAGTCTGCTCCATTGCTGCAGTCGAAGTCACTACAAAGGTTGATTAATGGTGCTTAAACATACAATAGAAAAAATATAAAGAGATGCATTAAAGATAATGGTGCTTAAAGATAGGGTAGAAAAAATATAATGAGATAGATTAATGGTGCTTGAACAAAGGTTGATTAATGGTGCGTGAAACCCTTGCTATTGAGTACAAAACCCAATAAAAAAATATTAATTTTGACAAAATACAATCGTAATATATCTTTAAGTAAAATCCAAGAATGACAGTAACCAAAATTTAACTTTCTTTACTTTTTTCGCATAATGAAATTAAAAAATTGAAAAGAACAAAAAAATGTAAGCTTCAAATTTGTAAACAATAAAAGCTCAGAAGTTGAGACCAAGTGATACAAGTGCGTACTTGAAGCACATGATCTATTCGCCCATCCTCACTACCAGTCAATCTCTCCATCATAATTGAACCATATGATCTCTCTTCTTTTTCTTGGGTATCTTCTGATACTTCTGCAATATGTACACAGAAGGACACAATTAATCAAGGGATTTAGCAGTTAAAGTGGATTGTTATATGCTTTGTTCTCTGGGAAGGGTGGAGAGGAAGGGAAAAAAGGAAGGCCCTTTAGCTAAATGATGGTTTCTATTTATCCAACTTGCATGGAAAAAGACAGTTAAGAAACCAAAAGGCACGGGGTGGAGGCAATAAAGGAAACAAGTATGCTTGTATTACCATCAAGGCTATCCTTGTTTCTTGATTGGCATAGTGTAAGCATTTTGACCTGTTCAAAAAATCAGATATTTCAAAACTCGTACTTCAATCAGAAACAAAATGCATATGCTAGAATGGATTAATGTCGTGCAATAAAAAGACAAATGTACCCAAGCCATTGTCAATTTTTTAAAAAAAATATGGTGGTGGGTTGAGTAATCAAGAACCAATTGCCTAGGGTGAATTGATCAACTTAATGGCCAACTTCTATATTGTTGAATAAGCTAAAAGAAACATGATCCCCAGTGTCTCTTTACAGTGATAAATCAAAATGTACTTAATTCACAAACATTCTCACGCACTCACATACACACACGGCACACCCCCTCTGCGGTGGCCCCTCCCCATTGCTGAACCTGACCATCCAGTTAAACCCCCACTCTGAACCCGAAGTAACATATACAAATATATATGTATTTTTTTTTATATACACAAAGAAAGAGAAGATATAGTGAAAGGGAGGAGAGAGAGCCCTCAAAAAGCAGTTAGAGTGATCTTGTGTGAATCTCCCTCGCTGAAGTCACATATCTAGGTTCTCTTTGGATATGGCCCACTTGTGACTTTGGAAATTTTCAACTTCCTGTGCACCACCCTGTTTACACCTAGAAACTTATGTTGAACTTGTTTTTTCCTCCAACAATGAGAAATCCTTTCCTAAAGCCAATGGCTTGTGAGATCTAATTGTTTACTATTTTTTTTGATAATGCTAAATCCTCAAGAACTGAGCTTCTTGACTTTTCCCACAGTGAGTTAAATCCACAACAAAAAAATTCAACTCTCCAACAATTCATGAACTAATTTTCAACTGAAACCAAAAGAGAAAAGGAAATCTGAAGGTAACACAAACATAGGAAAGAAAAAGGAAATAGTCATGGTTTTTCCTTTACAAAATTGTGAAAATGGTGAAAAAAGAAGCAAAAAAGTAAATAATATATCGTAGCCTTAGAAAACAATTGTTCAATATATCTCAATGTCATGTTGTTTCTATGTTCAAAACAAGCACAGAGAGGACAGCACTCAACTAAGGATTCAGTAAGTGCCCAGCAGAGAGGAAGAAAATAGGCAAGGAGAAGCCAGTTAACATGTTAATTGGAAAAAAATTTAGCCAAGGAAATGCATGGATGTTATTGCACATTGCCTGCCATCTGCTTTTAGTTCATTTTGCATTTGTCTTTATTTTGTTGTTTAAAATGGTAACTTTCAATGAGATGATTCCATTTTGTTTAAAATGATAACTGAATCCTAGAAAAAAAGTTTTAGTTGAAAAGATCACTAGTCCGTTTATTATGTGATAGTTAGAATGACATAAATGAACCCACCTTTACGGAGTTTAGTTGATCCGTTACTGCCTGAGAACGTAAAACTAAATCTTCAGCAAATTCCTGCAACACACAGTATGAGGACAGAATGAGAATGGAGTAAGCTTAAACCAAAAATAATATTACTGTTAGAGAGCATACCTGAAGTCCAATATGCAATCGTTTTCCACCTTTGTGGTAAGGGATAATAACAGGGCAAACTTGATGATTATTTCCTTGTTATCTATTCATGAGAACCAATTGTAAAAAATATAGACATTTTGATTCACAAGCATAATATCAAAATTCCAATTTCTGATTTCAAATTTCAAAATATAGACATTTCATAATTCCAATTCAACAAATATAGGTTAATTTATTCACAAGCATAATTTCTGATTTCTGATTCAGAAGCAAAATTCCAAACCCTGATTTCTGATTTCAAAAAATTCCAAACCCTAATTTCTGAAACCACAAGCATAATTTCTGATTTTACAATTCAAAATCCTAACATTTTATGATTTCATAATTTCATAACCACACTGATAAAACCCTGACACATTACAAACACATTTAATAATTGACATTTAAAACCCTAACATTCACATTTTCACAAATACACATTCACATTTTCAACCACACATTCACATTTTCACAAACACAATAAATAAATACATAAAATTCAAATGATACAGACAGAGTTAGATGCCATACAACGGAGAGAGAGAGAGCAGAGACAGAGAGTGAGAGCAGAGGGAGAGTCTGAGAGCAGAGGGAGAGCGAGAGCGAGAGCGACTGTGAGAGTTGAGCAGAGCGAGATCGAGAGCGAGAGAGTTTGAGAGTAGAGGGAGATCGAGAGCGAGAGCGAGAGCTAGAGAGTCTGAGAGCAGAGAGAGTCTGAGAGCAGAGTCGAAAAATCCAAAGTGTAAAAAACGTGATTGCAAATGAGGGGGCTTGGGTGTTTTATATAAGTTTTAAAAGCGTAGTTTCAATCCACGCTTTCATTTATCAACAGTGAAAGCGCGATTTCAAGTAGCATTTTCTGAAGAAAAAATAATGCAGAGTGAAAGCGCGATTCCAAATAGCGTTTTCTTCAGAAAACGAATGCACAGTGAAAGTGCGATTTCAAATAGCGTTTTCTTCAGAAATTTTTTTTATGTTAAAAGCGTGATTTACAACCGTGCTTTCTTAATTAAAAGCGTGGTTTGCAATATCATATTTTGGACTCCAAACAGTGAAAGCGCGATTTGTAATCGCGCTTTAGCCTAGTTTAAAAATTTCGTCCAAACTAGGTCTAGTTTGGGAATTAAGATACAAAATAGGCTTAATATGAGAAAAGTCCCAAATTTGCTGCCATGTTGTCTATTGCTGAATGTTTAGTGTTAACATACGATGCAGTTTGACACATGGATTCACCATTTTTTGGGTAATAATTTGTATTTGTACAGTGTAAGTGAGTTGTGATCGGACGTATGGAGTATTAGATTGATGAAACAGTTTAAACCAACTTTTACAGTAAGTTTTAAGTTGGGGAGCTAATAACTAATTTTGATCCCATTTGCAATATTAAGGGAACTTCTTAGGTACTTTATTAGCCTGTTTGGTTTCAGTTTTTAGAAAACAGTTTTCAAAAAATTTTATTTTTTATTTTTCGTATTTTACTGTTTTCAATGAATTTTTTAATATTTTAAGCAAATTTGTTTAAAAAAATTTTAGACACACTTAACATAAACACACTTAAAAAGTATAATATTTGTGAAAAAAATCTTTAAAAAATACACTAAATACCAAAAAATATAAAAAAAAAATTAGTACATTTTCGTATTTTTGTGTATTTATTAATTTTTTAAAATATTTTTTCATAAATATTTTACTATTTAGATACATCTAAGTAAAGTGTATCTAAAAAAGTAAAAAAAATTACTTAAAATTTTAAAAATTCACTAAAAATAAAAAAATACGAAAATAAAAAAACTCAATTTTCAAAAAATTGAATTAAGAAAATTGAAATCAAACACACTAAATAAGTTTGTAAAGTTTGGTAGAAGTGTCAATATATAGAATGGTTGATTATGGGAAAGATTAGAATAGAATGTAAGAGTGACAACCACGAAGAGGGCCAAAGTGCCAAAGTACTTTGGTATTGTCTCGTTTTTACAATTTTTTAGGATCATTTGGTTAGAAAGAAATGCGTGGATCTTCGAAGATGGGAGATGGAATTTTTGTGGAATAAAGTATCACTTAACTTTTTTTTGGGCTTCGATGAATCCTCTTTTTAGAGAGATTTCAATTTTTTACTAGTTAGAGATTGGTTGTTGGTATGACATGTAGAAGGTTTTTGATGTAATTTTGTTTGGGTTATGTATTTTTTTTTTCTTTTATTTATTTTTGATATTCTTTGTAGAAGATGTCTTATCCTCATTTCTTTTTGTTCATTAATAAAATTCTTTGTTGTTGATAAAAATAAAAATAAAAATCATAAAATTTCATTATAATTTTGAATAAAATGTAGAGATTTTATTAGAAATTACTATTTCAAAAGGCCATCGTTATAATAAGGTTTTTTCAGTCAAAAGTTTTTCAAATAATTTGCGTAAGTATAGGTCAAATAAGTTGTTTACGTTGAGGTCAAATGATTTAATGGCTAGTTCAAAAATAAATAAAACAAAATGATTTAATGGCTAAAGTGCATCAATTTATATATTTTTTATTGTGAAAATAATAAGTTAGACATTTTATTCATAAATCCTCATTATTTTTTCCAACTCTCTCATTCTCTCATAATATCTTTCTCTATTCTCTTCAACGGTTCACTGGGGGTGTTTGGTGGGGCTTTTTTGAGCCAGCTTATGGCTTCTGCCTTTTAAAAAGTTATTTTAGATTGTTTGGTTAAACTTATTTCAAACAGCTTCTGCTTCTAACAACTTATTTTAAGTCAAAAAAGTTGATTCTGAGAAGCTACTCACCCATTGCTTCTGATTATCAGCTTCTGCTGTGGACATGTTAATTCACAGTTATACTCTTAGATTTTTTAATTTTTTATTTTTTTAAAAATAGAAAAAGACCCAAATGGACTATAAAATATTATTATTATTTTTTATGAAAAATGTAGACAAATAGTGAATAATAAAAAATAAAAATTAATTGAAAAAGCTACTTCACAGCTTATTTAACAAACACTACTCAGCAACTTAAATCTATAATCCAACAGCTATACCAAACAGATTAACAGCTTCTGATTAAAGTCATAATCTATAATCTGTTAAACTATAATCTATAATCTGTTTTAACAGTTACACCAAACAGCACCACTGTTTGCCACCATCTCCATTGTTCACCATCTCCTCTTATCGTACTCACAAGAGTTAGTTGTATATCTCTCATTCCTATCACAGTCTCAGATTTATTATTAGGGATCTCAAATTTGAGATTGGCGAGTTTAGATATGAGCTGTGTTTTGTACATCCGTAATATTAGATGGATAAAGTAGTTTAGAAGCCAAGTTTGGCTAACCTAAAAAAGTGCACTTATTTCATCTTTTTATCTTTTTTTGGTCACATCAATCAACATCTCCTCTCTACTTTTTCTACACATAATACAAAAAAAGTCAAAAAATATACTTATTTAGTCTTCCCAAACTAGGCCTAAATAGCCTCGATGATGTATGGTGTGTGTGTGAGGACCGATAGGTACTTCCCTCTGTGTAAGACCTTAGTGATCTCGTTCTCTCAGACCTGGAGTAACGAGTTCTGGAAGTTCGTGATTGAGTGTCGCCCGTCCTGAGGCTTCTACTCTCTGTTCGCAATGTCGTGGTATGCCTACTACAATTTTCTAAGTGGCGAGGAGGCGCATTGCCTTTGCACCGCTCTCCTGTCGCCACCCATTTTCCCTTGATCTGGCGCTTCATGGCCTCCATGTCCGCCGCCATCTTCCTTATCAATTCATCTTGCTCCGTCATGCGGTCCTCCAAAACTTGAGGATCAATCCTCCGCCTTTGTCT